TCCATCTCACTTATTTCAGTCACTGACACTTTGCCAGTCTGGAGATCCTTGTAGAGGTCCTGATCAATGATTTCGGACTCAAGTAGCTCAGAAGCCGTAACATCTTTTCTGATGCCTTGGAAGGTTTTTACTTCGGTGGTCTCTATGATTGTTGTTACAGTTTTTGTTGAGCTGCTATCTGATTTGGTCTCTTGCTTTTGGCCTGTGAGCACTGATGAGGAGGATGATTTGGTCTGCTGCTCAATGATTGTCAAAACGATTTCCAAGAAACGTTGGACTGTGATGGATCCGGATTTGTACTGTTGGACAAGGTCCCTCCTCTTCTCCTCAGTGATGTATTTGGAGTAGAGCAGATCCCACAGAGACACTGTGGTTCCCTGGTACCTCCCTCCTGCACTGGTTGTCGTTGTAGACTTGAGAATGAGCTTAGTTGCCTCATCAACATAGAAATAGAACTCTCCTTTCTTGACAATGACCAACAAACTGAGGCCTGTCTGAGGATCTGTTGTACACCTCTCAATGAGCTGGAGATAGGTGAGGTTGTCCTGGGTGTTGGGGTCAAAGAATCCCTTGGTGTCATCATCGGGGTCAGACAAAATCTGGTTCATTTCTTCATCAAAGTAATTTCTTTTGTAGGCCACTTGTACTGGCACTCTGTGACTGTAGACTGGGTCAATTATGCCCCCTGTGGCGATCTGTGCCTCGAGGAGACGGATCCCATGATCCTTGACGATGAGGTCCTTTTTCAAGGCCTGGAACAGGGAAATAGTGTTTCCGGTGTAGGGATCTTTGTACCCTGTAACCGCTCTTTCTGCTGAGAGGAGCTTGTTCTTCCACTCAGTACCAACCACTCCCTGAGCCACAGCTTCCTCTACAGAAAGTTTCTTGTTGTTAACCGGGTCAATGACAAAGCCAGTGGCAGCTTGGGCTTCCAGCAGAACCAGAGAGGTACCAGGAGTCAGTAGACCCCTGCTTTTGGCTTCATAAATGCTCATTACCTTCTTTGTAGATTCAATCCTTACACCTGCAATACAGTTTGTGCCTCCAAGGTACTTTTGAATTGAGTCCATTTTGGTCACATTTTCTTCAGATACCTCACCTTGAATAATCTGAGTGAAAAGTTCCTTTGAGATTATTTTGGATTCAAGCAGTTCACTGGCTGAGACTTGCTTTCTAAGTCCTTTGAACTTTCTTTCTTTAGACGACAGCTCGGTTATGATCACAGTGAGTATTTCAATTATTTCTTCTGTTTTCATGCATCCTGTCTTGTACTGTCGAATAAGCTGTTCCCTTTTTTCATTTGAAATGTATTCAGAAAGCAGCACCTCCCACAATGTCACCTCTTTGCCCTTGAATTTTCCCACATTAATGGAAATGTTCTTGCTCTTGAATGCTTTCTCTACTTGCTCATCGGTGTGAAAGTCCTTGGATTCCTCTGTGTGCAGTGGAAGAAGAAGTAGTCCAGTTTTAGGATCTTTTTCACATCGATTTATCAGTTTAAGGTACGAGACTTTTTCATTGGTGTTAGGGTCAAAGAAGCCTTTTGCTTCATCAGATGGGTTCAACAGAATTTTGTGAGTTTCTTCATCTAGTAATCCCTTTTTAATGGCAACATGGCTTGGCAACCTGAGACTTTGATTTGGGTCAATGATACCTCCTGTTGCTGTCTGTGCTTCAAGAAGATGCAGGCCATTGGTTCTTTGAATAAGCTCCTCATTCATGGCCTCAAAGAGAGATATTGTGGTATCTGTGAATGGATCTTTGAAGCCAGTCACAGCACGCTCAGCTGAAAGGAGTTCTTCAAGTACATCTGGTCCAATGACTTTCTCTTTAGCAGCATCATTAACAGCATAGAACTTATTATTGACAGGATCAATGATCCATCCTGTTGCAGCCTGGGCTTCAAGTAGCACTCTTGCAATGCCAGGAGTCAACAAATCTTTCTGCTTTGCTTCGTAGATGCTCATTACTTTGTTGGTTGGATGAACCTTGATCCCTGCAATGCTTCCGGTTCCTTTCAGATATCCTTTCACATGTTTTTCTTGGGCCACTGCATCAAAACTCAGTTTTCCTTCTTTCACTTTCTTGAATGTCTGTGCGTCTATGACCTCAGAGTCCAGTAATTGTTGTGCAGAGACAGTGTTCCTCAGGCCCATTGTCATTTTAGGGGTTTCACTCTGCTCTAGTTTCTCAATCACTAATGTGATTAATGTCTGGGTGCTGATTTTCTTTGTTCTGTATTTTTCAATTAATTCCAGTTTCTCATCCTCAGTAAAGTACCCAGAGTGAATTAGGTCCCAGAGAGAAACCGACTTTCCTGAGTAGTGTCCCACAGATACGCTTACAAACGTCTTTACAAACTCTTGCCTAATTTCTGATTCAGTGAAGGTTTTTGCCTGTGTTGCTGCTGTCTTTGGTGTGTCACTCAATGGCAGAAGAAAGAGTCCAGTTTCTTTGTCCTTCACACATCTGCCCAACATTTCCATGTACGTCAGGTTGTCTTTTGTCCCAGGGTCAAAAAATCCCTTTGTGTCATCTGTTGGGTCTGTTAGAATTTGATTGAGTTCTGCATCAAAATATCCCTTTTTGTAAGCAACTTCCAGAGGTAAGTGGAGACATTTCAGGGGATCAATGATGCCACCTGTGGCAATTTGTGCCTCAAGTAAACGAATGCCATGCTGCTTCACAATAAGATCCTTTTTCAAAGCTTGGAATAGCGAGATCTTTTGACTTGTGTATGGATCTGTGTAGCCAGTGACTGCCCTCTCTGCAGACAGAAGTTTTTCATACATCTGTGGACCGATTATATTTTGTCTGAGAGCTTGTTCCACTGTAAGTTTTTGGTTTTTTAGTGGATCAACAATGAAGCCGGTGGCTGCCTGAGCTTCCAGGAGGCAAAGAGCAGTGCCGGGTGTGAGGACTCCAGTTTTCTGTGCCTCATAAATGCTGAGTTTCTGATTGGAGGGTTGCAGTATCAGCCCAGCAACACAGCTTGTTCCTTGCAAGTAGCCCCTCACGCTGTCCATCTTCATGACGTCAGTGTTTTTCACCTTTCCTTCAATCAAACTGTTGTATGTGTTTTCATCCACAATTCCAAGATCCAAAAGATCCACAACGGAGATTTCCCCTCTGAGGCCTTTAAAGTTCAGCCCTGATTGCTGTTTTATCTCTTTGGTCTCAATGATCTCCAAAATGGTGACTGTGAGCTGCTCAATTGTGATTTTCCTGGACCTGTAGAGCTTGAAAAACTCCTGCCGTTTGTCCTCGGACAGATACTCTGAATTGATTAGGTCCCACAGGGTTGAATCCTTGCCCTTGAACCTGCCATACTTGACAGTGACTTCTGTAGTTTTGAACTTTTCAAACATGCTGTCGCTAAGGTTAATTGTCTTGCTCCTGCCTTTGAGTGGCAGGAGGCACAGGCCAGTGCTGGCATCGGTGACACATCTGGCCATGAGCTGCAAGTAGGTCAGGTTTTCATGGGTGTTGGGGTCAAAGAAGCCTTTGGTGTCATCACTTGTATCATTTAGGATCTGATTCATCTCTTCGTGGAAGTACCCCCTCTTATAGGCCACATGGACAGGAATGCGATGGCTGTTCACAGGGTCGATGATCCCCCCGGTGGCGATTTGTGCCTCCAGAAGCCGAATTCCATGGTCTTTCAGGATAAGGTCTTTCTGCATTGCCTGGAACAGAGATATTATCTTTCCGTCGTGGGGATCTTTATATCCAGTGACCGCTTTCTCCGCTGAGCGCAACTTCTGGCAGACGTCAGGCCCCACAATCTTTGCCTTGACGGCGTCGTCCACCGAGAACTTCCTGTTTCCAATGGGGTCAATTACAAACCCTGTTGCTGCTTGTGCCTCCAGGAGAACAAGAGCGGTTCCTGGCATCAGCTTTCCTTTCTGTCTGGCCTGGTAGATGGTCAAGACTTGAGAGTCTGGCAGCAGAATACCCGCAATACTGCCTTTACCCTGTAGGTACACGTTTACAGTTTCATCCTCTACCACCTCCTTTACTGACTTTTTCCCCTTTTTCAGATCCTCCATGACTGCCTTACTGATGATGTCCGAGTCCACAAGTTGTGTGGCTGTGACGGTGTCCCTAATTCCTTTAAACACAACTTTTGTTGTTTTGACAGACTCCTCTATCACTTCCAGGACCGTTGTGATGATCATCTTGATGCTGAGCGTCCCCTCCTTGTGCTTCTGAATGATGGATTGTCTCCTCTGTTC